AAGATGGTGAACGACAGCACCACTTCCTGCAGAGGGAGGGTGGGGGGACTTGTAGCAAGAAAGAGTCAGAGGGAGAGGTGGACTAAAACGCTCAAACTGCACGAGACACATGACCCAAAGAGAGCAGCGGGGTTGACATGGAAACTGGGCACAGAAACATTCTGGTTCAAATTTAAACTATTAACAACTAAATTGTCTGCGACAGACGGCGACCTGTCCAGGGTGACCCCACCTCTTGCCCAGAACATTAGCTATTCTGAAGCTCTCCTAGCCCAGTTGTACCATTATGTTTACATTTTCAGATAATGAATGAAGATGTTGAAGCTTGGGTGCATTTGGGTGTTATTGTCTCATCAAAAACATACTTGGAGTGTTGTCTTGATTCTTTCATGCATGTTTGAGAAATTATTTAATCTCCCATGGCAACCATTCTAGGTGGACTTAGCTCCACCTTCAAGATGCATCTCCTCCTCAGAGCTTCACTTGCCAAGCTCTGCCTCCTAGACCAGTGTTTTTCAACCACTGTGCCGAGGCACACTAGTGTGCCGTGGAAATTATCCAATTTCACCTATGGTACCACATTTTCCGGATTATAAGCCGCTACTTTTTTCCTAAGCTTTGAACCATGCAGCCTGGTGCGGCTTTTCTGTGGATTTTTCTTCAACCACCAGGGGGCTCTTTAGCAGGAAGTGAATAATTCGAAGTCAAAATTGTAAATCAAAGAAGAATGCGCTAATTTTCATTTAGAACAAGCACATGCTAGCAGGAGGCACGACGGAGAAATGTTTTCAAACTCATATGATGCAGCTTTTAAGTTGAGGACTGTCGATCTGGCAGTACAGGAGGGAAATAGAGCCGCTGCACATCAGCTCAGCGTGAACGAAACCACGGTTCAGCTTTGGTGACGGAGGGCTGCGTCCTTAATATATCCAGCAGATTTATTAGGATGCAGCCCTCTGCTGGGTCCTTATGGAAAACCGAGAGCAGCAGAGATACCAGCGGCTTATATATACGTTTTCTTTTTCTTTTCTTTTTTTTTTGTAATTTGAAGGTACGGCTTATAGTATGATGCACTCTTTAGTCCGGAAAATACAGTAATTGGTCTTAAAAGATTTTTTGGAAATGAATTAATTATCTGCAAATAATGCCATCTTCGAGTAGTGACTAGCAGCGTAATCATGTAATTTTCTTACCACTAGATGGCAGTAGGTACAGAGCATTTTACATTAAAATAAGACAATTAGTGATGCATGAATGTTACAGGTAGTATCTAGCTGTGACGACAGTGATGGAAAAGACAGTGAAGCTCAGCAGTAGTTGGAAAGAACATGGGTCCATTTCCCACAACATGTCTGTGTGAAGTGAGCTTCTCAAGTCTGGATACTATAAAAACTGAAACCAGAGAGAGACTGAGAGCTGATGAGGAAGAGATTTGTCTTTCTTCAATTTCTGCCAGGAAATCAGCTGTTTTCATCCAAATATGCACGTTTCACACTAGATGGGTAAAATATACAGATATTGACATTTTGTACATGCAAATCTTCATATTGTAACAGTGAAATCTTTCCCAAATATTATTGCTTCTTTCAGAATAAGAATTATTTTCTTTATTCCGGCTATAAGAATGCTTGTGGATTAGTTTGTAAAACACTTTGAAGTTTTCTATAACTTCTTTAAATTTAAGACCACAGTGTTGTGGCTGTTCAGGTGTTCAGGTGTATTTTTGAAGTGGAAATGTTACGTGCAATTTGAAATAAGAAATGTAAAATGTGATAAAAATACATTTTTGTGTTTATTTGATTTTTATTCAAGACACTTTGATAAGAATGACTATATATGTGATATAGGCGGCCTTTGTTTACATTTTTGGTTGGTGGTGTGCCTCGTGATTTTTTCAATTAAAACAATGTACCTTCGCTCAAAAAAGGTTGAAAAACACTGTCCTAGAGGAGTACTCCCCTCGACTCCTCAACTTCTTCAGCAGTTAATGCAATTAGCTGCTAGGTAGTCTGAAGAAGCTAGCCAGCAGATGGAACTGCGTGTCTGATGAGCTAATTCTCAGTGCAACATTGGTAAAAACGTTAAGAGGTTAATAGCAGAGAGATGTTATAATGAGTTCCTGAAGGTGGAGTTCCAGAAAGAGCAGGAGTTGTTAAAGTGACAGAGCCCCAAATTAAAAGGAAATTAGGAAGCATGTTTAATATAACTAAATAATAATATATTCACTTGATTGGGCTTTAAAAGAGCCATGCAAGCCTGAAAACAGATGATATTGAAAACACATGTATTTAGTTGGACACTACTTAAAGGGGCCCCTTTAAGTAGTGTCTAAATAAATACAAACATGCCACACTTTCCAGATTTTTAATTAGCTTTTTTACACCAGTCTCACAAATGTCAAGATAAAATACAAGGATTTGATTATAGTGTAACGAAATGTGCTAACAGTTTTCATCTGTTAAAAGTTCAGTTGTACCATTTAAGACAGCAAACAGAAAAGCAGCATCTTGTAAAACTCCAAAAATCAAGTTTAATTCTAAAAGAGTGAGGAAAAAGTTTCATGTACTGCCTCTACCACAGACTTTGCCCACCCTCTATGACTAAGTTATGCCCTGTCATGTAGTTGGAGACGTCAGATGCCAAGTAGACCACTGCGGCTTGCAGATCTGTCACTTGAGCCAGTCTTCCAGCAGGAATATCTGACAGCCAGCGCTGCAGCAGAGGCCTTAGATCCTCCGAGTGGATGAGAGGGGTGTCAACAATCCCCCTGAAAAACAGAGAAAGCCAAAGAAAGAAAAAGAGAGAGAGAGAAATGGAGAGAGAGAGGGGAAGGAAAGAAAAAAAGAAACCTACAATGAAATCAGAAGGCATCACAGCACAAAGCCAGGAGTGACAGTGTTGTTTCGGAGGCATCACTTTGGTGATATAAATAAAACCAATTATCCCACAAAGAAAGTGTGGTGACATGGCACCATTGATATTTACCGCAGGTGGGG